TCTGTTGTGAATTCACTTTGTCAGTTTAAAAATGGTAACTGATTTCTCTTTTTCTTGTTCAGGTGTTTTTATTACTCTTTTCAAAAAAGACTTCTTATTTTGCTTACCAGTTCTATAGTCTTTATTTTAAAGCTTTTCTCTTCTTATTCTAATTTTCAATATTTTTGTTTTTGTATTTGTTTTAGGATTGCTAATTTATTAATTTCCTAGTCTCTTTAAATTCTATGCTCAGTTCATTTATGCTATCAAATTTAAAAAACTGAAATTTTCCAGTGAAGCCTGCTTTAACTGTATCTTTTAAGTTTTGGTATGTAAAATCTATTATCATTATATTCAATGTAATTACTTATTGTTTCTATTATTTGTCCTTTGATCCATTCATTATACATGCTGTCATAATTTAATGTCTGTTTAAGTCTGTATCTTTTGCTTATATTTTCCTTACTACTGTTTTTATTACATTTTAGTCTATAAAGCACTCATTTATTATTTGCCTTTTTACATGTTTCAGTTTTTTAAACCTAGAATGATTGATTCTTATAAAGGGACTATAAATTATTAAAAAAAATTTGTATTTAATGTATTTTCATTCAGAACTCTCCATATGTTGGTCAAGTCTAGTTTTTCCAACAATCTGTTCAGATCCATATTTTATAGTTTACATTCTAGCACTGTCTTTGGCAATATTCTGCTTGGAAAGTAACTTAAAGTATTTACTCAATAAGGCATTTTCTAGGCTGTTTTGGTTGTCCTGTGACAATAGATTTACATCAGTTAAATTTACTCTGTATAAAATTATCAAAATCAGTGCCATTATTTCTGCTTTCTGCTTCCCATTTTTCATTGCTAATCACTTGTTTATATTTCAAATTTACTTTTTTCAACTGTACACCATATATTTTTCTCACTGCATTGTCCTTGCTTTTTCACTCACTCTGATTTTGTTGGTGGTTTGACTCTATAGATATAGCTGATTCAAGGATAAACTACTACAAGGATGAGCCCCTAAATTGATATCGGGTTTTTTTAATTTTTGTTAAAAAATATACATATGTATATGCATATATATTTTTTGTGATATTCTTTGATGCTAGTCATGTTCACTACCTACAAATTATTTTCTTATCCTGTTCATGATATAAAGGTTTAATGCTTCTGCACATCTCTAAGTCTTTAATTTTTCTCATTTCTTTTTCACAAATCATTCTTTTCCACATGTTAATCACACTCCTCATCTTTCCCCACTTTTATATTTAGTACCAGAGTATATGCTGATTTAAATTTGAATGTCTTATCAAGTTCCTTGTCAAAAGTCTCAATCTTTTAATCCTCAATAATGGATACTGGTGTGGAAGCTGCAATTGTTACTTCTGCAAACACCTTCTTTAGTGATGCAAACATGTTTGGGACTGTGTCTTGACTTTATCAGATTTTGATCCACATATATTTACAATGTGTTTACTGGACACAGCAAATTGGGGAGTGGGATGTGTGCGTATGTGTGTATGTGGTTTTCTCATCCATTCTGATACTCTTTTTCTTTTTATTGGAGATTTTAATCCATTCATAGTAAACTTAATGTGTTAAGTTTATGGGGTTTTTTCACCATTAACGTCATTTCATCTTCCCTTTGAACCTATTATGCCCTGTTCAATGTCCTCTGAGTCACACCTTTTCTAGTGGTCCATACTTCCTATGAATAGTGGGAGTTAGCACAGAGTCAGTAACCCCATCATGTAGAATCTGATCTCTTTAAGTGAACAACTCCCCCAAAGAGGGTTAAATACAAAATCCTTCTCTCATTCTTTTCTGTCTCTGAGGGGTCATTTCCTTTCTCCTGTCTGTACTCAACTCCCATTCTTCCCCCCTCTGTGATCTGCCCCATATTTGTTCTATTCTTATTTTCCCACAACCCTAAGGGAAGGAGGAGAAACTGAAAACCTAGGCTACCATCTTGACTTCTTTTCTCCCTATTTAGGAGATGTACACTTGTACTATCTTACTGCCTACTGTGTAGCGAATAGAGTACTGGCTGGGCCTGGAGTCGGGAAGACCTGAGTTCAAAACCAGCCTCTGACACTTATGGGCTATGGGACCCTGGGCAAGTTACTTAACACTGTTTGCCTCAGTTTCTCATCTGTAAAATGAGCTGGAGAAGAAAATGGCAAACCACTCCAGTATCTTTGTCAAGAAAACCTCAAATGAGGTCACAAAGAGTCAGACATGACAAAAATGACTAAACAACAAAATGAAAGGATATTTTCTTCCTGAAAAATAATGCACATCTACCACCTACTTTTCTTCTTATTTTTCACATCATACCTTTTACTCTTTACTTTCTTTAGTGCATTGATGCTTTCTTTTGCCTTCTTGCTGCCTCTTATGTGATTAAAAAAAACATGCAAAGATAATTTTCCACACAACATTCACATTTTTGTCTAGCTCTAGCCATGTAAAAACCAGTACTTCATTTCTCAGTCTTTCATTATTAGCTGAAATAATTTAACTTTCCACTGTTCATCCAATTTGGTTACTGAATATTCTGCTTACCTATGGGTTCTTCTGAAAGAATGATTCAAGTTTTTTCTTTTTTTTTTAACTTTTAATTTTCTTCTTTGATATTTAGGTTCAAGTTTGCAGGAAAAAATATTTTTGGATGCTAACTGATCTTTCTTCTTTTCAAAATATCATCTTTTAATTTTCCGTTTACTTTCTCAAAACCACAGAGTAATCCTGTACTATTCTGATTGGTTCTTTTTTGGACTCTAAAGGGTTTTTTCCCTTTCTACCTGCAAAATTTGTTCTTTGAGAATGTAGTTCTGAGCTTTATGATGTTTCATGACAAATTAAACTAAGGATTTCTTTCAGTCGGAGTTCTGTGGATTCTCTGAATCTATAATTTATTTGCCTCTAATATGCAAGCTATTTAAATTTTCTTTTTCTAGTTGTGTTGACACATGTTGCTAAACACTTTTCCTTTCATATTGTTCCTTTCTTTGGGTTATTTTCATTCTTAAATCAGCTTTTGTCTGTATTAATCATTCTGATTTTCCTGTATAGTACCCTTACTAAAAACATCTTTGTCATTAAAATTCTGTAGGCTGAACACTATTTAAGGGATTAAGTAATAACAAGGGTTGGGACTGACAAAGCCTTCGCTGATTGTACTCTCTTCTCTAGGGCTGTCAGGGTTAGATGAAGTCTGTGTCCCTTAGAAGGTGAAGATGACCAGTCAAAATACTACTTCAGGTAGAATGCTGGTGGCCATTGTAGTTATGTTTGTTTTCTACCTTTAGCAATCCCATATTTCTGAGTTCAACCCTTCTCTCAGCAAATTGCCTTTCTCTAGTCTTCTGGCTAGACTCTGAGTTCTGGCTGTGGAAAGGTTTGAGGAGGGTCCCCCAGCATATAGCTAAAGGAGGCTCTCCAAAAAGCCTTTGCTTTTCACTTTCATCTAACTGTTATTCTTTCTACTGACTACTTCTTCTTGTAAATCCCTGCAACCAACATAATATTTATGTTTTTCTGTTTTGAAAAATTTTCTTCCTCAGGTTCTACACTTCTCCATAGTCTCATCATTTTATTCTTTTTGAGTGTTAGGGCTTCTCTGATTCATGAGTTTCAACCTTCCCTGGAAGCAAGGGGTTAACTTTGAAATTCGGTACCTAATACTGCAAAAGCTACAAGGGACACCAGACCAAGGTATAGATACGAGAAAGGGAGGAAAATTCAGGGGTGAGAGAAACTAGTGTGCCAGGACCTCTACCCACCTTGGGAATAGGAACTTATCTCCCTCTTCCAAGGAGTAAACTGAAGGATTAAGTTGATATCTAAAATTACGGCAGCTATAAGGACAATAGGACCATCCAGGGTCTATGTGTAGTAGATGGAGGAATCCAGGGGCAGAAACATAGGCTGCTGAGGTGGTATTTAATGTTTTTTTTTTGTTTTGTTTTTGTTTTTTTATGAGAACTGTGAAAAGTTCTTTCACTTTTCTTCTTTCTGTTATTGCTAAGATGTCTTCATTTGGAGGGGTTCTTTATTTTTATTATTTGTTATGGTGAAGGGAGAGAAGTCCCTTGGATTATCACTCATTATTTCATCTTCCTAGGATTCCAGGAACTGATTTTCCAAATACTCAGTTCAATCTCCTTTTAGTGATCCTTTAATTTACACTATGGTTTTAATAAGTATACTGTTTCTTTGGTTCTGCTTATTTCATTCTACATCAATTCATACCAATCTTCCCTTGTTTCTCTGAATTCCTAGCTTCTTATACTGCATAACATTTTATTACATTCATATACCAGATTTTTCACCCATTTCCATTTCTTCAGGTGATTTCTCCCTTCTCTCTGTAAAATCTATGTTTATTAATGAAGCCTAAGATAACTAACTTTTTTTGGTGACCACATCACACAATTCGTGGCATAATAGTATTTTAGAGATAGAAGAAGATCATCTAGTCTAATCTTCTCATTTTGTAGATGAAGAAACTGATGCCCAAATTCACACAGATAATAAGGGATAGAGTCAAGATTTGAAACTAGGTTTTTTGGCTCTAAATTCAGTGCTCAATTTACTCTGCTACGGTTCGTGTATTTGAATCTGCAGTCCACTAAGACCTCTAGGTCTTTTTTCATATGCACTACAACCAAGCTACACCCTTTACAGCCTGTATTTGTGTAGTTGAGTTTTGTTTTGTTTTTCAAACCAAAATGCAGACCTAGACAATGTCTCCAGCATATGTTAACTCTCTATGGAAAATTTATGGAAAAACAAAGATAAGGATGAAGTACTTTAGAATAAGTGAAGAACTTTATTAACTTAATCACTCATTAAATTTCATCTTGTTATATTTGGCCCATTGCTCTAGCTTAATTTGTTTTTCTTTTTTTTTTTCTCCTGAAGTCTTACTCTGTCAACCAAAGTAGTAGTAATCTTTCCTATTTTACTGAAGGGCCTGATAGTGGCTTTAAAAAAAAAAAAGAAAACCTTACCTTCCTTCACTCCACACACTTCCGGATACACTGCTCTTATCATTTGAGTTTCCTGTCTTGCATCTTCTTTCTACTTGCTCTACAGACAGTTTAGAACTAGAATCTGCAGGTGACGTATGCTCTCCCACATTATTTTCTCTTGCTTTCTGAAGGGAGGATCCATCTGCTCCCATATCTCTCACAGATGCTTCTGGGGACGTTTTGATTTCTGTCAAATTCTCTTGCCCTAAGCAATCATGGTTAGCAATCGCTACTGCAGATGTTCCATGATTTGCCGTAGCTCCTGTACTGGTTCCCATGGATTTGGAAATTACTTTCAGTTTGTGTGAACTTGATTTGTAGTGTTTCTTTTTATGTTTAACTTTAGAATTGTGTTTTAAGAAAAATTCGCAGGATTCTTGCAACACTCTTCTGCTCTCACTGATGGGACTGAAAGAAAACCCCAGGAAAAGTATTAATTTGGTAAATAAACATCAAATACAATTACAAAGATCGTAAAATACAACACATATCTTTTATTGGAAAATGCTATATTCAAAGTCAAAGTGCCTTAAATACTCAGGCAATAGTACAAATAATCCACAAAATCCAAGATTACAAATATGGTTGGTATCCTTTATTAGAAGTAATGCATTTTTAGTGAGTGCATTAAAGAAGATCAGCAAATCAAAATCCTAATTATGTATGAGTTGTTACCTTTGTCTGTACTTTGGAGGGCCTAGGAAATTAAGCTGGTGAAGGCAATAAGATGAGATTGGTAAAATGTAAACTGGCTCCCCAAAAATCCACTTATATTTATTAAAAGCCAAATAAGCAAACCAATAGCAATTAATCTTCACAATGGGCAGTTAGAAGAGTCAAGAAAGATTATGGCGTGAAAGTGCTGTATCAGTGGTCTCTGATTTCAAAGTTAGGAAAATAAGTTAGAAAAAAAAGTATAATAAATCAAGAACTCATTAGTTTTGACTCCATTAAGTTGCAATTTCCAAGAATCACAGAACTGAAAGGGACCTCAGATGTCATTTGTCTAATACACCCACTGAACAATATTCCCAATGAAAGGATATCTATCCTCTGCTTTAACACCTCTAGTTAGTTACGGAAAACTCTGCTAACTCATTTTATTTTTAGACACTTCAAAATGTTGGAAAGTTTTCCCCTTATGTTGAATTAAAATTTTTTACTCATTACACTTAATTTTACTCTTTAGAGCCAAGAAGTACTAATCTTTTTTCCACATGATAAACCCTCAAGTACTTGAAATCAGCTATTACGTCTCCATGCTAAATTTTTACTAGTTCCTTCAACCCATTTTCATATGGCATGGCTTCCAGTATCCTCACAATCTTGATTACCCTCCTTTGGGCATATTCCTGTTTGTTAATATACCTTTAAAATATGACACCCAGAACTGAATAGGATGCTACAGATTTGTTCTAATTATACATACCAAAAGGTGACTGGCAGATCCTCAGTCAAGAAAGTTTGAACAGTATGCTTATGATTAATTCTAAGTAAGCTCCCTTGTTCAAGAAACTTCCCTATTTAGGATTCCTATAAATATTGGCCTAAATAAATACTTCCTTCTACCCTGTAATTTAGGAAATCTTTGCTATGTTTGATAAGAGCTATAACCTGCTTCTACCCTGTAAAAGAAATAATAGTATCTGTAAAGCTTTTGCTTGCTTGACAGTATTCCTAACGTTATCCTGAAATGCCTCATGCTATGTGGATTAAAAGTTTTGTCGAGGCAGGTTTAGGCTTCATGCCAAGGGACCATTTGACAAGCAAGGCACTGACAAATCAAAAAGTCAAAATGCCCTCAAGAGAACATCCAGAAGTGGAAAATAAGCAACAGCATCTCATCTCTCCAATAATTAAAGCACTGGAAGATCCAAAGCAGAAATCAAGAAGTGAGGTCATTGATAAGACCCTCTAAGAGGGTATAAAATAACTAATGGACATTTGGAACTTATCTTTGTTCATGGATGAAGAGCCACTTACTATTGAGCAACCATACTGAGGGGCCAAAGGCAGCCATGTGTTACTCTAACTAGGACCAGACAGCCATGGAATTATGTGGTGGAACAAAAAGTACATATAAGTATGCGCTAAGGGGAACACAGTGTTTGTTACTGAGTGGATCTTGGGACTGATAATCACATTGGCCTTGGAAGATCTTGACACTATGGTTGCTATGACCTAGACCTTGCCACCTCAAAACCATGTGGGCAAAGTAAAGTGGGACAATCACTTGCCTCATTCTGAACACTTAACATAGCTTAAGATCACATTACCTTTTTTGACTGCTCTATCACACAGTTGACTTGTATTCAATTTGCTGGTCACTAAAACCTCGGTTCTTTTTCACATGACCTATTTTCTAGCCATTACTTCCCAGTATTTGTACAATTGAATTTCTGCACCTAAGTTTGAAATGGAGATACACGTAAAGTCCGATACTTAAGTTCAGAGACCACTTCACGCATTTAATATGAGGGAGAGAAGAAACTGAGTCATCTGAAAAAGACTTGGGGTTTTTAGTGTATAGAAAGCTCAATGTGCCAACAGCATAATATAGCAGCCAAAAAAAGCTAAAATGATTCAGTGCTACATTAAGAAAACAGCAAATATAGACTTTATGTAAAGCAAAATGTTTAGAATTAGAGTTAACAATGCCAGACAATTAGAAAATCTGAGAGAGGTAGCATGCTACCCTTAGGTCAACAGGACCTGGGTTCAAATCCTGTTTCCAACAAATGCTGAGTGTATTCCCCTCATCAAATCACAATTTTTCGGTAATGCCAATTGGTATTAATTGATGTAGAATGAAATAATTACATTTTTCAGAAATGTAAATTTCTAAGATTATAATTTACAGAACAGTTGCTGATCTACCGTGATAGAAGGGGTCTCATTGGGAGCTTCACAATGAAATCACAGGTGGGGATCATAAATGCTCACTGTCTGGCTGATAGGGTTAAAGATCTCAAGCTAGAAGGTTACCTATTCAACCCCTTGACATCACACAGAGGAAGAAAGTGAAGCTCAGAGAGTTTAAGAGAATTGTCCATATCAAAACAAAATACAGCTGTCTAAAAGTGAAATGGGCTGCCTGAGGAGGTAGAAGGGTTCCTCTCACTGGAAACCTACAAGCAAAGGCTGGAGTGACCACAACTAAGAGTACTGCGGTCAGTTCTAGAAATGACACTGCATGACACTGACAAGCTAGATAATATCCAGAGACAGGCAGCTGAGAAAGTGCAGTTGGATATGTGCACTGACACAATGGAAAAAAAACGGGGCTAGAAGTGAACAGGAAGAGGACAGCAGGCTGGACTGCTTTTGGGAAAATGTATAAGGCTTTTAATGGTCTCCTTTCCCCGAAACAAAGATTCTCCTGGGAATCAGGATATTATATTTTTCAGAGATTTAAAGTTGTGGTTATGCAAAGGACAATGGAGACAAATGTGGTAGGTGTGAACATGCTGTGATATATTATCAAAAAGTAGCATAAAAGATATCAGAAAGATGTATGACTAGAAAAGGAGGCAGCGGCAGCAATGTAATAAGAAGAAATGACAACTAATTGATGGCCCAAGAATGTACTCCACTGATATCCCTACAACGACAAGAGTAAAAGAATGCCCCAAACATGATGAGTACACCCTTCTGCCCTACAACTGATGGGAAAATTAGACAAGAGTCCGAAAAAGTGACATGGTGTGGACAGTTTTGGACCTGCATATTTGAAAAGGGTACCAGCATTTATGAGATCATATTGATATCAAAGTAACACATTAAAGAAACTGTAGGTGCCAAAGGAAATACAAAAGAATAAGAATCTTCACCCCCTAGAGTCCCAGTTAGGTACTAAAGGACAGGAAATATAAAAATGGTACAAATAATCTGGCCCTACTAATTATTATGCATGTGTCCTTCAATAGCTTCAGTGGGTCTTAGTTTCCTCATCTAAAAATTAAGATTAGGTTACATTTCCTTAACATCAACCAAAGCAGGATCACCACAATGTTACACCAGTACCTCAGCACCTGACTGTTACGTAAAGATGTGGAAATGTAACTCAAAAAGATAAAATCTGGAAGACTGGGTGGGTCTGACATAGAGAAAACATCTGTGTTAGTGATGACAATTTAAAAGGCACTAAAGGAAGTGGGGAAGATTTCAAAAGAATGGCAAAGAACACTGACAGTATTAAACCAAAAATGTGACAAGATCTCAAGTACTGACCCATATATTTAATTTCTATGTAAAACCTTTATAAGAATAGTATATGCCTGTATGAAGAGTATCAGATGGAAATGAGAAAGGAAAAAGTAGGCTTTCGCAGATGGTTTTCTACAACAGACTACTATACCTTCATAGGCACACAAAGGACTAGAAATATAGGCAACACAAGCTTCTGTCATGTTCAATTTAAAAAACAGCACTGGATTCAATGGAACAAAGTGCAGTCTTTGTATTCTCAACACTTAGCATAGTGTGGGACACACAGTAAGTACTTAATAAATGCTTGTTGAATAGCTACCAGCCTGCACATTTCAAAATATATAATTAACTGTTTCATGTTTAGCTATTAAAATACACACATACACAAAAAGAATTACAGTTTTAAAATCTCTCTTACTCTCTCTTGCGATTTCTGTTGAAGAAACTGGCCCATTCTGTGCAGGTCTTTTTGCTTCCCACCCAAAAGACTGCAGAGATTCCAACAATCAATGTCATCAGATACTTTATCATAAACAATGCCAATTCTGGACGTGCTAATGTTTTTGCCTAATGAAAAAAATCAGAGCAATGGAATCAGTTTTACAGTACTGCTTTTTAAAGGGTATAAAAGCTTTAGATACAATTTACTTATATAACTAAATCATCTATAATATGAGGATAGTAATAGCACTTAGTTCCCATGGTTTTTACAAGGATAAAATAATACTTTTAAAGTGTTTTGCAAATCTTAAAGGTCTAGTTATTACATAAAACTAAATGTTATATTAATTGTGAAAGAAAAGCTATGTAGAAGTGAACAGAATTTTAAGATAAGATTCATTACTGAATCTATAAACAGACTAACATAGAAGGTATATCTATCAAATATGGTGCTAAAAGACAAAAAGATTGAAATCTATTAAAAAAGCTTTATAGCATGATCTGTTTTCCATTTCCATTTTTTTCCCCTATTTCTGGAGGGTAAACTTGTAGCTAAAATATCTAACTCTTTAAATATTTGTTCAGTTCATTCCTATTTCTAGATTCACTTAATGCAAATGATAATCTAAATATTTAGAGGAGTAACAAGATAAATAAGAAGTATCACTGTCTTGTGTGTGTAAAAGTTTTATCTTAAAATCAGAGACAAGAAAATGGGCAAATCTTCTGTTATTCCAAGTTCAAAGTTTCATCATGACCTGTTTAAGTTTTTAGTCACTGAAAAACCAAATAAGATCAGGAAAAAAACCAGGTTATATCATACTACAATACGCCTATTCTGGATTTTCTATCTCTAGTTTATTTCTATGTCTTAAAAGGTCTGATTGGCCAGGCCAGCCTATAGATTATACCTTATTTAACATATATCCTAACACTGACACTGAGCAAGTGAGAACAAGTTGAAAAGAATCAAACAGAAACTGGAACCCTGAATTGTTGCTCCTAAAACAGAGTTTAAGTTTTTAACAGAATGTGTATTTCCCTTCAGTTTACCAAAAGGCTCAAGAATGTATAGCAAAACCCCATTTTAACATATTAGCTGGATTTGGTGGTACTAAGAGCGAAATCACAAACCCTAAAATACAGGGTAAAATCCAATCATAATTTGGGTTGTCTATGTGCAGGTGTTACTTATGCTTGCCAAAGCCAAATGGGTTCAAATGTATTTATCCACTGACCAAATGACACACTGGTTGGCAAATTATTTATTATTTTAATTCCTATTTAGGAAGGAAGGAAACAAGAATATATTAAGCATCTACTTTGAGTCAGGCACAGTACTAAGTGCTTTGCAAATATAATCTCATTGTGTCTTCATAACAATTTAGGGAAGTAGGTACTATTATTATTCCAATTTTATAGCTGAGGAAACTGAGTCAGACAGAGGTTAAGTGACTTGCCCAGGGTCATACGATAATAAATGTCTGGGGCTGAATTTGAATTCAGTTCTTCCTGACTCCAGGCTAACTGCTCTGTCTAATGCTGTCTCTAGGAAGTTATTTAGCACAACTCATCCCACAAACTGCTTGATTTAAAAGACTATGTTTTCACTTGTTTAATATTATTATTACTTTAATACTTCTAGGATCTATGATTTTATTGGTAGGGGGATTCCCTTCACTGAGGCAGATTATTACACCTAAGTAAGTGGTGTTAAGAATTGTTAGGGTTAAAAGATCTAACTTCTTATGGCTCATACACTTATAGGCCAACTCTCAGAATGTAGCTAAGATGGTCATCAGACGACAGGACCCATACACTATGCCACAATGCCTCAGTTAGTAGGACCTGTCAAAACTTGTGTTTCATGGACAGCCTTCAAGAATTCTGGGTAATGTCCCACTGTAATAAGGCATCATAATAGGACTTAAATGGAAGAATATTAATATTATGTACTAGAAATAATTCTCTGCTAAAGTTCTACACTGATGCTTCACTAAGTAATGAAGATGACTAGATCTTTGAAGACTATACTAGTAGAAGACAAGGTCTATAAAGTCTTAACAAATTAGAAAGGTTTTGGCTACAGGCTAAGTAAATGATGAATTTTGTGCCTACCATTTGGGGTCCAGCTTAGCTACACTGAGAGAGGTAGAATCTGGCTTCACCAAGTGGTAAAAGATTTTTGTCCACAGAAACTTACATCTGGTGAGGTGTGGTGGGCTCATGGTCTGCATCAATGGAAGGAGTACCTATGCCAGTGAAATCATGGATGTTTTGAAGTACTAGATATAATAATAAATAATTAATCCAGAGAGAGGAATATACACGGTGTCCCAAAAGTCTTAGTGCAATTTTAAACATTAGTAGCTCAAAGTTGCACCGAGATTTCTGGAACACTGTATAAGAACTGTTGGCATATGAACTAAATTTCTATGAAAAACACTGTGAAGAACTATGCTTACAGAATTGTATTATATTCAGAAATTTAAAAACCTTAAATCTTAAAAACACTAATCTACAACTTTTATAAGCAAGTCTGACTAAAATCATAAGTAAAAAAAGATTATAAACTCTTTGAGGACAGGAATCATGCTTTGTTTAAACTCTGTATTGTTCCAATGCCTAACACAGAGCTTTTACACAGTGGATGCTTAATCAGTGTTTGCTGAATAAATGGAATTTTAAGAAAACTGAAACCATGTTTTATTTCAAATGGTGTATGTTTTCTGTTAGGAAAAAGCAGACTGATTTAGCCCTATTTCTATTAAAATTATGTGGCTGAAGAATATTTTATGAGAAAATGAAATTCACTAAGATCACAAAAGAAAAATACTTACTGATTCTTTCTAACTGAATGAAAATTCAAAATTAACTCACACCTCTCTGCAATGACTACTTTCCATCTCTCCTTGCCTACTACGCCTAACCACCACCTTTTCCCTGTTTTTCAACCAGGCATTCAGCTTCTGACTCTCCATCCTTAATCAGAACAACTGGTTTGCCTTTGACACTCACTATCAATTTTTAAGAAGAACTTCTCAATGTGGCAAGTTATATTTCCAATGGATTAAAAAAAAGGGGAGATGAAAAATTATGCAATTTTGAAATTGTACCTTAATAAATACAGAAGTATTAGTAATGTTGCATTTCCAAATCTGAAATATAATTAAATATCCTCAACAAGCAAAATTATATTTCAGTGAACATAATCTTCTATGTTACAATACATATGGTTGTTTTTACCTGATGGGGGCATGGGATATGGTATCGATGGCAATGGTCAGAGACCCAAGTTGTTTCCCAGATAATCCTGTATATCTGCTCATAGACATAACACCCAAGAAGTGTCACTAATGGAACAAGGTACAAACCACTGAAGACTCCAATTCTAATCATAAATTTCTTGAGTTTTTCTTGGTTTCTTCCATCATGCTGAATAACTTGCCGTACATGATTTAAAGAAATAATGCCAGCTAAAAGAAGAGACAATCCAACAAACACACAAAGGCACAGAGGCAATAAAACAAAGTATCGAGAAGCATAAAGGTCATAAAGGCCAACAAAACAAACACCACTGATATTGTCCCCTTCAACTTTGTTCATAGCCAGAAGCATAACTGTCAAGAAACCAGGCATCCCCCAAGCAACTGCATGAAACCACACGGCCTTTTGTTCAATCGCCTCACAACTCCACTTTCTTCCCGCAGCTAAGAACCACGTAATGGTAAGAATCACCCACCATACAGTGCCTGCCATTGTGAAAAAATACAAAAGCATAAAGAGAACAGTACAAGCCTTATTTTGGGAACCCAAAACAACTGTTTCACCAAGCTCTAGTTTTTCATCTGCCTTATTACAAGCTGTGCTATTGCCTAGCAAAAATCCAATAAAGTACATTAATGATACAATGCTATAACAGACAGAATAATATATGATTGGTCTTTCTGGGTACCTAAATCTTTTAACATCAATTAGAAAAGTCAGGAAGGTGAACAAAGTTGCACATAGGCAAAATATTGAAACAATTCCAATGAAGCTTTTTGCAAATTCCAATTCATCATTTTTGAAATACATGTTAGGGCATGGAGGTGCACACTGGTCAATTCCAAGAAATTTGTAGCCTTGTCCACCAGATGTCTTCAAATGCCTGGGACACCAAAATCCATAGTCTCTTTGAACCTGTTGTGGTGTTTTCGGTGGGTCGTGAAACTTGGTGGTGAGGTCAGAAGCGACTGGAGCAGTCTCATCACAATACTGCAACCTGCAAAGATTATATAACTTGTTAAAATGAACTGCAACTATTCTATAGACCATATCCTTTAACACAATACTTGTGAAACTTAAAACATAAGTTTTTATGAATTCACAATTTGGGGGAACTAAACTGAATCACAGGAAAAATATAGCATCAATTAAAAATTTTATCATAGCAAAGGTGATACTGCTTAAGAGGAACACTGCAAGTATGTACTGGAAAAAATTGGCATATTTGTGAATTACAGGGCTTTAAAAAAAAAACACTTAAAGAGACTTTAAAGAGATGTCACCACTAGGTTTAATCCTAAGGAGGCTATTAACAAGAGGAAAGTCTCCAATATACATCAAAACAGTTAACAGCAGTACTTTTTGTAATAGCAAAGTTTTGGAAACAAAGTAGGTGCTCATTGACTGTGGAATGGCTAAGTAAATTATGGTACTTGAATGTAATAGAATGTTATTATGTTCTAAGAAATAATGAATAAAATTAATATACAGAAGCATGAACTAATGCAAAATGAAGTAAGCAAAGCCAAGAAAACAACATATGCAATGACTACACCAATATAAATGGAAAGGACAAACACAAAAAACAGATAAAATGAGTGTTTCAAAATTATAAAGAACAAGCATGGCTCAAAAGAGGAGATATGAGAAGACATCCCAGCTCTCACCCCTCTGAAGAGGTAGGAGGTCCACAACTATGGTACATTGTACATACTTTCAGATTCTTTCAATTTTGTTTATTTTTCCTCTTTTTTTTTTGTCTTAAGTTATATTCTATGGCTCTTTCAGAGCGGAAGAGGAGGAAAACTGGGGAAGAGTTTGGTGATATAAAAAAGACACAATAAAAAACTTATTTAAAAACACATTTAAAGGGACCCTAAAAGACAAAAAGGATGCAAGTTGTGCCTATTAATGGGTATCCTCTAAGGCTCTCTCCTGGGCCCTTTTCTCCCTTCTCCCTATATACTATTTTGCTTGGTGATTTTATCAGCTCTCATGGTTTCAATTATCATCTCTATGCAGATGTGTCTCATATCCATACTCCCTAGTGCCCCATTATTGCCCTCCCTTTTCAGCTTCCTTTCATATGTTGACTGTTTTTGTTCGCAAAAGACCTCAATTTAGACAGGCCAAGGTCATCCACTGCATCCCAAGCCACTACCAATCATCTTGACTTTTGTCAAGGAGGATGATGATTGAACAGTTCTGCCTCACTTAAATCCAATTAATGAGCAAATCAAGACATCACCCTTGTGTTGTCATTGGTCTTTGAAAACAACTATCATCACCACTACCACCAATACCATCACCTCTCTACTGACCTCCAGTCTCACATCTCCAACTGCCTATTTGATAGACACCTTAAATTCAACATGCCCAAAAGTTTAACTTATTACCATTTCTCCAAAACCTCTTACACTAACATTCCTATTACCGTAAAGGACACTCACCACCATCCTTCCAGTCACTCAGGTTTGTAACCTAGGTGTTACCCAAACTTGCAGGTCTGACCATATATTACATAGATGTATTACAGCTCTCTTCCATTTATCAGCTCCAGCTCTACTATCTACCCAAACCAAACCAAACCAAACCAAACCGAACCGAAAAACAATCCCATATCCTGCCATAAAAACAAACCAAAACAAAACAAAAAAACATCACCCCCACTTGCAGTTGAGATCTCATGAGAATACATCTGATCTAAAACCTTATTAAATATTATTTCTCTCAATATTTTAAACTTATAAATAGTCATCACAGCTATCAAAAGAAAGTAAATTCAGTTTATAAGGACAAATATACTATTAAGAAACTTATTACTACATTTTAGGAGAAAAATATTGCAGACATCAATTTATATAATTTAATTATAATATATAACTTAATTATTTTTAAGACAAAACACTTATATATCTCAAACAACTAAGTGCCTAGAGAGCTAGTTGGACTAAAATTAATGTGTTTTTTATACTCATATATATACACACACACACACACACATATGCACACATGTACATATATAAACATATAGGTATATGTATACATATATATCACATACATTTTACACACACATAATTGTATCTATTCCTCTGCCTTCTCTTCTTGGCCCTCTCCCTACACTCAGACAGTTCCCATTTCAGACAGCTGGCTGGCAGCTATTGTTTCCTACTTTGGACATGCTGTGTACTCATTTGTCTTTTTCCTTAACCGGGCTGCCTGACTGCTCAGAGGGTCTGATTGATATGGAAACCAACAATTTGATTCCTTCTGATGAGATGGAGGCCTACCAAGCCTTACTCTCTGGCTAGCCACTGTTTCCTATGCTTCAGCAGGCCAACCTTATCATCTGCCCTACCTTTCTGTAGTAGAGTCCTTCAGGCACTGTCAACTTAATTTCTTAAGTAGCCTAACCTAAGGATCCTTGAGCCTTGCCATCTGTTCCACAATTTCATCCTTAGGACTTCCAATCTACACCACTACTAAACTTTGTCTTACGTGTTCTCTCTTCCAATTAGAGTGAGATCCTTGAAGGAAAGGACAGTCTACCTACTTCTATTTGCATCCTATTGCTTAGCACAGTGGTTGGCACTTAGTAAGCTCTTAATGTTTTTCCTTCCTTCATGTCCAGTCTGAAGACTGAAGGGTTTGAAATCAGCCTAAAATCAATCTACAATACAATATTTTAGGTTTTCTCCCTACTTTTTCCCCCATCACTGAAAGTCTTATGTTAAAGATCTGTTTTACACAATACATTATACCTTTGTTTTGTTTTGCAAAGAAAATAGGATCCACCTATGTTGCAGCAAACTTATATGACCCACATTTTTTTACTACTGTTTTTGTGGCATCTGAAAAATTGGATTTGAGTCTTGCTTGTTCTACACACTAATAAGTCTTGGGTCATATAACCTTTCTGGAATTCAGTTTTCTCATTTGTAAAAGGAGGCCATTGGATTAAATGATTTCTAAGCCCTTCTAAGTCTAACATACCATGGTTCTACAGTATTAACGTATATATATGTATACTAAACACTGTGATGTTTTTTGATCTACTTTGTTCCATTTTTGATAATCAATCATAAGACTCTTTTAGAATACTACTGAATGGCTAACATGGTTCATAGTATGTGCTCCTAAGACACAAAAGGTTTGTCAGAGAATCAAAGAATCTCTGAATTGGAAGGGAGCTCAAAGGTCATAACCACAATCAATCTCCTCAGTGGCATCCCTGAGAAGGAGTTGTCCAGGCTTTCTGAAAGTCCTTCAGGGAGAATGAAGCCCACAATATCCTCAGGCAGCCTATTTCATTTTTGGAAAAGTCTGATTGTTTTTTTTTTTCTTTTTTTCTTAATTTATTTTGATTTATCAACAATCACTTCCATATGCTTTTGAGTTTAAAATTTTTCTCTCCCTTCCTCCCCACCACCCTCTCCAAGATGGCACACAATCTGATATAGGTTATACATATACAATCCTACTAAACATATTTTCACATTAGTGATGTTATAAGTAAGAATTAGAACCAATAGGAAGAACCATCAGAAAGAGGAAACAAAACTCAACAGAAGAGAAAAAAAAATAGCAAATAGTATGCTTTGATCTGCATTCAAATTCCATAGTTCTTTCTTTGGATGTGGATAGCATTTTCCATCACGAGGTCTTTGGAGATGTCTTAGATCTTTGTGTTGCTGGGAAGGGTTAAGTTTATCGATATTAGTCATCACAGAACATGGCTATTATTGTGTACAACGTTCTCTTGGTTCTGCTCACTTCACTCAGCATCAGACCATACAAGTAGGAAAGATCTAATTGTTAAAGTCATTCATTACATTGAAACTAAATCTGATCTTTATAACTTTCACCCACTGCTCCTGGTTCTGTTGATGTATGAGAGTAAAACTTAAGTTTAATTTGAATATAAAGTTCTGAAGTGGATATACAATCCTATTTGGGAAATCATTATAATTCAAAATATTTCATTATGGCATTCAAGAGCTTTTATACATCTAAAATATTATAATTTTATATAATTGGTAAAAAAATTACAAAGGTCATCTATAAGTACTTATTAAATGACTGTGAACAGTATTATTCTAAATACTGTCAAAAGATTAAGATTCAATACAAGATTTAGAAATCAAGTGACACATTTGTCTTAAACAGGATATATTTTTTAATTTTATTCGTTTACAGGACTTTATTTTTATGGAGATATAGACAAATACAGGACAAGTCTGTGAATTATGTGTACTTACTATAGTGATTCCAAACTTTGGTTTGGGGAAATTGGATGATGTCTCCAATGACATTCAACAAGATATAGGCATACTGCATACTTAAACATCAATTTTGTTTATCTTAGGAGAAAATGAATCATAAAAGTAATATGAAGAACTTTCTAACAGATTTTATGTGTGTTAGGAGGGAACATGCAGTATACCAAAATCAAACTATTTAGTATCAAAACTCCAAAAATTTATTAAGGTTATTACCTTAAAACTTATTATAAACTTAGTAACCATTCAAAATCAAACAAACAAATACGCAAAATAATTCCTTACATCCATAAAGCTCTTTTACATATTGCATCAAACATTACACAAAGTAGAAAGAATCAAATAACCAAGCAAAATGTATTTGCTCCTGTTCCCTTTTGAGTCTGCTTTACTTTCGACTCTTTGTTTTTGTTCTCTTTTTTTCTATATTAACTTTATCCACATTCCACAACTTGCTATTTTACAATGGAGCAAGAAATTGCCTTAAGAATGAATATCCACTTAATTATCCAAATGGCCAAATATAAGCAATGTGAAATCATGGCCATCAGATTCTGGACAAGGAAAAATAAGGGAAGCAATCTATCTTTCCTTCATTTATACAATAAACCTGTCACAAACCTTCAGTTCACTTAGGGCTAAGGCATTGGCATGAAAATACTTTGCTTATCAGCTAAAATAATACCATACCTGCTGCATTCAAGCTCCTCTGGCCACGTGATCCCAAAAGTGTCAATTAGATATTTACAATCAGAGTATACTCTCTCACAAAATTTTCGACAAGGAGGAACCACATGAATTTGCTCAGTGCAGGCTGGCACAAAAGCATTGCAGAGGAAAGTGTCAACATCTGGTGAACAGTGCAGATTTGCTAGAGGGAGAAAAGGCTTTCAACAAAAATAAGAAGATGGTTAGAAATTCTTTAAAAAGACATATTTAACACCTGTTTAAAGTAATCTTTAACCTTTCCTCTCTATGTAACTGTATTTTAAAGAGGTGGTACATTTACTTAACTCTCCTTTAATTCAGTAACTATTTATACAAATGGAACATTTTGTTTTTGTTTTTCATCCAACAACTCTATTCTTGCTGAGAAAAGAAAAGAAAAAAAATCTTTCTTATAACTGAACTATTTATTTTGGAATGTATACAGAGGAGGAAAATGGAGAGCTGAAAATCATATCACTGGATTGGTTGAAGAAACTAGGTGTATTCTGATTGAAAAATGAGAAAATTTAGGGAGAATAAGATAGATGTATTTCAATTACTTGAAGGACTGTCAAGCTGATGTCAGTGGGGATCAAGTTTGTTTACACTGGCTCCAGACTGTAATTCAATTCAAAGAACATTCATTAAACAGGCACTGATGGATGATAGGTTTATTTTTTTATTTTTAGGCAATTGGGGTTAAGTGACTTGCCCAGGGTCACACAGCTAGTAAGTGTCAAGTGTCAAGTGTTTGGTCTGAGGCCAGATTTGAACTCAGGTCCTCCTGACTTCAGGGCTGTTGCTCTTTCCACTGTGCCACCTAGCTGCCCTGATGACAGGTTTAAAAGACAAATGTGATAGCACCCTTGGCCCTTAAAAACCTGAGTTTACAATCTAGTTGGTTAACCGCTTTCCCAATAAATTCAGTGAAGTAAAACAAAGATTCCCCCATTCTCTACTGTTATTTATTCTAGAAATAATAGGATAGCAATAAAACAAGAGAAAGAAATCAAAGGCACAAATATCAGGAAAGAAGAGACAAGATTATAGCTATTTCCAGATGACACAATGGTTTACCTAAAAAATCCCAGGAAATCAGAAAAGAAAAAAATTAATAACATCAATGAACAGCTAGCTAGCGTTTATACAATGCCGTAAGTTGTGCAAAGTGCTACATACACACACACACATGCGCGCGCACACACACACATATATGTATGTATGTATGTATGTATGTATGTGTGTGTGTCTATCATTTGATCCTAACAACAATCCTGGGAAATAGGTGATATTTTTATCTTTATTTTTACAGATAAGGATACTGATGGTGACATTGATAAAATAACTTTGCCAGGGATCAGTGAACTAATAAGTGCCTCAGGCAGGATTTGAACTCAGGGCTTCCAGACTTCAAGTCCAGTACTATTGCATCACTAGCTACCTGAAGTAAAAGTAAAGTAACAAGGAACAAAATATACAAAATCATCAACATTTTTTATAGAAAGAACAAAAACAAGGAGGAAATAACAATAATAGATGGCATCTACCCAGTGCCTTAAGGTTTGCAAAACATTTTACATAAAGACAGATAGGTGGCTTGGTGGATAGAGTGCTGGCCCTGGAGTCAGGAAGACCTGAGTTAAATCTGGCCTCAAATACTTAGTAGCTGTGTGCCCCTGGGCAAGTCACTTAACCTCAGATTGCCTCTGTTCCCTCCACTGTAAAATGAGATATTATCTCAAATGAGATAATAATTGTAAAGTGCCTAGCATAGTGCCTGGCACCATCTAAACCTTAGCTAATATTATTGTTATCTTATCTCATTTGACCCTCATAATAACCCTATCTGGTAGTAGCTATTACTATGTCCATTTTTACACATAAGAAAACTAAGGCTGACATTAGTAAAGTGACTTTGATAGTGGCATCCTTGAGTTTTGAAGTAATGAACAATCTTTCACTAATCTCTGGAAAGGAAATTTCCTAGTTTCCTGGTAATTTGGTATCTGATATCTGGTAATGATGAATCTCCTGAAGGGGAACAGTATCACATTCTACTCCATTAACTATGGATCTGCTTTTAGGCTCCTGGTAATCTCTCATCAGCTCAAATGTATGATCAATTATCATTTCAAGACAGATAACATCCCCTCATATCCCCTAACTGGACTCCCAGACTCTAACCTCTCCCCAGTCCAATCTCATCCTCTACAAAAAGGTAATATTTAAACAGTACAGGTCAAACAACTCCAATGACTCCAGGTTACCTGTATATTCAAATACAAACTCCTCTGTTTGGCATTTAAAGCACTTTACAACCTGGTTTCAACCAATTTTCCAGGCTAGAAACTCCCTTTCACACTGTCTAAAGTCCAGCCAAATTAGTATAACTGTTGTTCCTCACACATGACATTCCATCTCCTTCCCTCTGTATGTCTACCTTGCTGGGAATGCATTCCTCCTCATCTCTGCTTCTCTGATTCCCTAGTTTCCTTCAAAGCTCAGCTCCTATGTGAGATGAGGTCTTTCCTGATTGTCCCACCTACTAGTGTCCCTCCCCCCATTACTTTGTTTTTATTTTGTCTATCCTTATATGCATACGTGTTGTTACCCTGGACAGAATGTAAGCTCCTTAAGAGCAGGGGCTTTCTCACTTTTGTATGCATATCTTCAGTGCCCAGAAAATTGCTGGAAACACAGTAGGCACTTAATAAATGCTTTGTCTTAAAGTATAAGACTGACCATGTCACTTCCCTACTCAATAAATTCCAGCGGCTCCCTATTCTATGTATGGTTAAGCACATAGGAGATATTTAATCCTTACTGACTGACTGATTTAACTACTTTTCTATTGGGAAATGGCATATATGTGTGTACACACACATATACACTCAATATAGCTACACACATATAAATACAAATATACACACACATATATGTATATGTGTATATATATGCATATACATGTAACATTTACACACATGTATATATTCTAATTTTCCCTCTGTGGTAAGTGTCAGACTTATCAGCAATATCTGATAAAAAAAAATTTCCTGTTGGCAATTTCTCCTATCTGCACTGATTTTGCTTCAAAATCTTTATATTTTATGTAACTGAAATTGTCTATTTTATGTTTTATTATCACTTCTATTCCTTATTTTGTTAAGAATGCTCCCACTAGCTACATATGGCCATAAAAGGTACCTACTTCCATGCTCCTCAAATTTCTAAATGATATGACCTTGTAAATTTAGTTTCCATCTTTAAAAAAAATTATTTTAAACTTAAAACATCAAAAAAAGGGTATATCATACACAGCTGAACTTCAAAAGAGGATTCTATATGAAACTATGAATCTCTACTTCAAAACACTTGATTTTGAAACATATATAATAAATTCCTCATATTTCTAATACTGTCCTACTTGTCTGTGTTCCTTCTGAATTTCCTTCAGTTTTAAGTACATTTTTAAAGGAGTGTTATAATGGCCCTCTTTTTTTTTTTCTTGGTATGTAACACTCCCTGGATCCTCCTCTCAATTAACAGAGAGAAAAGGGAGTGGAGGGGGATCTTAAAATAAATAAGTGTAGTCAAACAAAATGAATCAATACAGTGGTCAGGTCCAAAAGTGTATGTCACTGTACCTTGTTTCTGACAATCTGGGTGAAATGGATTAATATTTATAAAAATATAAATTGCCCAGATTAACAGAAGAGGAAATAAAATACTTAACCCCATTTCAGAAAAAGAAATTGAACAAGCCATCAATGAACTCCCTAAGAAAAAATCACCAAGGCCACATGGATTTACAGGTGAACTCTACCAAACATTTACAGGACAATTAATTCCGATACTATATAAACTATTTGGAAAAACAGGAGGAGTCCTACCAAATTCTGTTTATGATAGAAATATGGTACTGATATCTAAACCAGGAAGAGCCAAAACAGAGAAAGAGAGCTATAGACCAAAAATTAATAAAGAAACTGTGACAATATATTCAAAAATAATTCACAATAACAAAGATAAAAATGATTACATCAACAGGTATAGAAAAAAGTTATACTCCCATTGAAAGCATTTTTAAAAATAGTAATAAAAGTAATTTTCCTTTATTATGATTAAAATAATCTGAAACCAAAAGCTATAATTATTTGTTAGAGAAACATAAGAAGCTTTCCCAGTAAGATCCCAGTTTTGTAAAGCAAAGATGCCCACTGTCTCTACTTTTGCTTGACAACACGAGAGAAACGCTAGCTACAGCTATCAGAGAAGTTAAAAAACACGAGACAATAAACATAAACGAGATGAAAGATATGAAAATTATCTCTGATTAAAAATGATCTAAGAACTAGAAGCAAAGAATTATAGAATTTCAAAACTGGACCTCATCAGTTATTTGGTCCAACTTGTACAGTGTTTATTTGAGGACTCCCAAGAACAGGAACCTACTACTTCGTAGACAATCAATTACATTTTGGGATAACTCTAATTATAATGAAGTTTCCCCCTACATGAAGCCTAAATTCTCTTCTTTGTAAGTTTGATCCATTATTCCTTCCTGATTCTTCCTGTTAGGGAGTGTTCTGTTCTTCAAACTAAAAATCTCTAATTATTTTGTCCAATCTTTATAGGCCTTTCAACACTGATTGTCCTCCTGTGGATAAACTCTCCTTGATCAATGTCCTTCTTAAAATGTGGCAACCAGCCTTGAATACCACTACTGTAAATGTGGTTGAATCAGGGCAAAGGACAATTGAACTACTAGCTTTTTTGGCTGCTACATTGACTCTTGTTAAGCTTACAGTCCATCAAAATACTCAATCTTTTTCAGATAAATTGCTGAGTCTCTCCTAACATACTTATAAATTTTCTGAATCCAAGAATAAGACTACATCTAATCCTATTAAATTTCATCTTAATTGATTTGGTCCAATGTCCTAGACTTGGTCAAGGACCTTTCAGAATTCTAACTCTGTCAACTAGTACCTTATCAATCCCTCTCAACTTTGTATTATCTGAAAATTTAATAATCATGTTGTCTATCCCTTTACCCAAGACATTGACATAAAGGTCAAATGGCACAGGTTCATATCCAATTCTAGACACTCCACTGGATATATCCTTATATGACCAGAGAAACAATGAAACAGATAATTGATAACCAGCGAAGAGGCAG